GAGATATATATATGAGATCATAAGTGGGTGGTGCCACGCCCATTTTCCATAATTTTATCTTAAACGTATTTCTTGGTAAAGAATTGTTGCAATCATCAATTTTGAATGAATTAGCTTCAATATTTACTGTTTTATCGAAGATTTCATATTTCTCTAAATTACCGTTATATGGGATGTGGGCGTGGTTATTGTCCGATTTTTTAAATTTTTGCCATTTAGTATGCTGTACCAAGGCCAACAACTGTGCCTAGTTTAGAAGAAATTGGTGCAGCCGTTACCAAGATATGCACATGTAACCATAAGTGGGCGTGGCTACGCCCATTTTCCAAAAATTTATAATATTCTTATTTTTCGTCTGAAAATTATTGTAAATATCAATTTTGAGTGAATTATCTTCAGTAGTTACTAAAATATCGCAGTTTTCGTATTTCTGGAAATTACCGTTATATGGGAAGTGGGCGTGGTTACAGTCCGATTTCGCCCATTTTCAATACCAACCTACCTTGGATTAACGGAAACCTACATACCAAATTTCGTTGAGATATCTCAATTTTTGCTCGAGTTATCGTGTACACGGACGGCCGGACGGACGGACGGACGGACAGACAGACAGACATGGCTTAATCGATTTCTCTATTCATTCTGAACATTTATGTATACATTTCTATATCTATCTCGATTCGTTTTGTCTGTTACAAACAACCGTTATGTGTACAAAATTAATATACCCTTGTGCACAAGTGCGCTCGGGTATAAAAAGATGAGGATAAGGATACCGATAAAAGATGGAGATAGAGGAAGAAAGGTTAAAATAAAGTTAATTATAGAGAAAGGGATATAGATAGAGACACAGAGACGCAATCTGGGAACTATTGGGATTTTGGAGAGTGTAGCGATTCTCGGGACTTATCGATATAATAATCGATATTTCTATCGGTTTTGTAACCGATATTTTTGTCGAAATTTTTATCGATATTGTTATCGGTTTCGCTATAGATATTTGGGAACTTATTAATATAAAAATCGACAATTTTATCGATTTTGTTATCGATATTTTCAATCATTTTGTTAAAGATATTGTTATTGATTTTGTTATCGATATCGGTATCGGTTTTTTTGTTCGATTATCTATCGATTTTGTTATGGAATATTTCTCGATTTTGAAATCTATATTTTTATCGATACTTTTATCGATTTTGTTATCGAGATTTTTATCGATTTTTGTTGTCGCTTATTAGTCGGGTTTGTTATCGATAATTTTATCGATTTTTTTATCGATAATTTCATAGATTTTCTAATCGATTTTGCTACCATTATTATCGACTTTGTTATCGATCTTGTCATCGATTTTGTTATCGATATTTTTATCGATGTTTTTATCGATTTTCTAATCGCAAAAATAGCGTTAACATTTGTTTTCCCATTTTTGTTGGCTTGTGTAATAAGTATTGTTAAATAGCCAATACCTGCACGTTTGCGCCGCCTTCAAACACCTTTCGAACTGTAAAACAATGACTCGATTCTATTCTATGCATATCTATAATATGGGTATCGAATTTCAAACAAATCGGACCATAAATAAGATTTTGGAATAGATCGGTATCTGGTCCACCTATCAGAAAAAATATCCTATATGTTAATCGGGCCATAAATAAGACTTTTTCGAATAGATCGGTCCCTGGCCCACTTAACGGAAAAATGGATCCTATATGCTTATCTAGGCAAAAGGCTACCAACGAACCAAATGCATTTTTTTAGCGTAGCTTGACCCCTGCGCCACTCCTTCTTCTAAACACGTTTCCAAAAAAGCAGCTCCCATTCGAATCGGTTATGAAACATAGGAGAAAATTGTTCCCAATTGATTCATGCTCCCAATGAATTTCACAATTATCCGAAATTTCCTAAGCTTTCGTCGAAAAGAATTCAAATTTTTCGCGTTCTTCCGGTTTTTCTGTGTTTTCCACTTAGAATTTTCTATTTTTCCATTCGAATGCCATTCCGAAGGAATTGCACACAAAATTCCATACAAAAAAGATCAAGTTTCGATTTTTCCAATTTCCCGATTTTCCCGGACTGTTTTCCCAAAATTTTCCAAAAAAAATTTTTAGACGAATCGGCTCAACCGTTCTCAACTAATGAATTACTATAAATTTTTCACTCTATTTTTATATATATGTATACATGATAAATTAATTATGTAATTTCATGAAATTTTTACACTTTTATGTTCATTTCCCTCGATTTCTGGTTTCTAGAGATGGTGATTTTCCACGATTGCCTAATTTTTTTAATATCTCGAATACCGAAAGAATTAATTGAATTTTTATTTTTTATTAAGTATGTATGTATGTAGATCGTTTTGGTGGAACGAATTCGAAGTTGGCAAATTAAATCATCGAACCCTTGTTAAGTACATTAGGGTTTGAACCGCAAAACCCACCCCTTGCGTGCGCTAATGTACACGTTAAAAGTATACAAAAATGTTAAGTTTGGGTAAACAGGTGTTGGTGCATAGTATGTAGAAAGCGATCTCTCTTAAGGCCGGTCCACATAGAACTTTCGCGTTGCCTTTGGCGTTGGCGTTGGCTTGACAGTACCACAATATAACCAGTAAACAACCTTCGGTGAATTTGGTGACTGCCTTCCTCGGGGATGAATATGCTAGGGATGAAATTATTGATACACACGCCTTCCAAGCACGCAGGGTTGCTTTTAATAAGAAAAAAATAATTAACTCCAAATAGTTTCAAAAAGTATAGTGTAAAACGAAATTTATTGAATAATACCACATAAAATGGTATACATAAATGACGCATTTTCTAAACGATTTAAATTAAACGCATTTGAGAATTGATAGAAAAGTACTACGGATTGTAAATTTTTGTTAACTATGAGGTGAATGAAAATTTTCAACCCGGCCTGATGGTTTGATTTTATTACTAAGGCGTCTAATAAATTCATGGCTTTTAGTTCTAGAAGAATAAATGTCAGTAAAGACAAGTCTTTTTTGTATAATTTCTGATCTTAATTGCTCAACTTCTTTTGAACCAGAGCAACTGTCAAAAATTTCCAGCTGCAAAAAGGTAACGAATTGGCACAGCAGAAATGTAAATTTTTCTCGCCATAATAAAAAGTTTTTTCAACATGGAACTTTTCTACTAATTGACATGAAATTACTATCCTAACGCTCGGAGCGCTGCCACTGAGGGCCTTTGCCAACTGATTAAAAAGAGAAAATTTGGAAAGACTAAACAAAAATTTTGGGATTTCTCGTTGTTAATACGAATGCCACAGTTTTTACCTAGCTCGTAGGACTACGCAAAATTTTGACAGCTTGTAAATATGTATACACATAAAGTTGTTGGCGGTAATAAGGAGTCAAAATTAAAATGGAGAAAAGAACAAAAAGCGTAGGTTAGTTGTCAGTTATAAAATAAATCCAATTTATTTGCGAATATTTGTTTATTCTTTTTATTGAAAGGCAACCACTCGGAAAAGCTTGTGTTAATTATATTGATAACAGAACCTGGCAGCTCGCACGTTGTCTAAATTCTCAAGTAACATAAAGTCCACAAAAGAATAAGTACGCCATGTATAAATTTTAACAATACACAAAAATAGAGCTTTCGCACGAGTGTTTGTTTGGTTTTTCAACACCATTTATAATTTTCTTTTAATAAAATCATGATTTGACAAATACTTAAATTTATTTATCTATAATAATACAGCACACAACCCTGAAATCTAAGAAAAAGTCTGAGGAAGGCCATTAAATAGCAGCACACAACCCCGTGCCTTCCTCAGGAGTGAATATAACTACAACAACAACGACTACTACAACAACAACCCAAAAAGGTTGGTTACTGTCTATACTGTGGACAGTACGCACGTTAAAAGTATGCTTGCTACAATGAACGCTTCACAGCGAATGCTTGGGCCACTAAATTAACATACTAACGACAGATAAATTAATATTTCATATTAAAAACGATATTTCTTGCCCGCACTTGATTAAAAAGGAAAAATATTTCACATAATTATATTTATTTGCAACAGCTGACGAGCGACGCACGCGAAAAGTTGAGAGTTGTCCATCTTTTTGCTTTGTTTTGGCGTGGGCGTTGCCGAAGTTCGGCTATGTGGACGGCTGCATTTGAATTCATGTATTCATAGTCAGCTGTTGAAACGACGCCAACGCCAACGCCAACGCCAACGCAACGTCAAAGTTCTATGTGGACGGGCCGTTACTTCAATGGCACAAAGACAATCAGAACCTCTACTTCGTCTAAGTATACAGAGGGATTACATTGTTCATATATGTAGCTTGTATTAAGGAATATCGAGTATTTTGTCTAATTTTTATTAACGTCCAACATTTTTAAAGTTTGTAGGCATCTGAGCCTAATGACCCATTTAATCCCTTTTTCTTTGCCAAATTTTATGTCAGCATATATGTACATATACTTAGCTACTCGTCGTGACAGTTATAGGTCTCCTATTATGTGCACTCTTCGCGGAAGTAGTTTGGTCAACACGCGGCCATTGAAGACGTTGTACGCATAGCAATGAGATTGTGGACTTGAGAGCGCTGGTGACTCTTCATGCTAATGTTTCAAAACAATTGCATATGTGCATATAATAATAAATACTCGTAAATGCGAATTCGCTTTTTTGAAATTTATCGCATGCGTTGTTCAGGTACTAAACCAAAATTCGAAGCTAAAATTGAGGGAGGTAAAGCTGCGCTTGACACCTGACGGCTCCATTGATAAATGCACAATACGCAATACTTTTGATTGTGGCGATTACGAAATTTGGTAAAATGTCGCATATTTGAAATTTATACGTACATACTGGCAATTCAATTTAGTATTGATATCTAATGCGTTTATGCAAATTTGGATGTAAATAAATAAACTTTCTTTTAATAAATATACAATATTCTTTTGGTTTCCTCTATACTATTACTAATTTCATTGGTATCCTTTATTTCATTACAGTTTATTTCTCCAATGCACTTGCTAAGAAGTAGAAAAAATTAGGAGAGCATATAAGCTTTAATCCACAAAAATGAGCGCAATTGTGGGCGCGGCAACGGCGATAGGTGGCGCGGTTACCGCCGCCACAAGCAATAGCTGGTTTATACCGATGCTCGTAGCGGCCATAGCTTACTTTCAGTACGAAGAAATAATGGATCCAGAGTCCAGAGCGGAAGATTTGCCCACCGATGAAATACTAGAACGCTATGATTTCATAGTGATAGGGGCCGGTTCGGCGGGTGCAGTGGTGGCGAATCGGCTGACTGAGGTGGAGAACTGGAATGTGTTGCTTTTGGAAGCTGGCGGAGATGAGACTGAAATTTCGGATGTGCCGTTGATGGCGGGCTATCTGCAGTTGAGCAAAATGGACTGGAAGTACAAGACTGAACCGACGGGAAAATTTTGTTTAGGTGAGTTTCACATTTCTATAGCAAAACAATATTTATTTGCTCGTTAAAGTATTAAAGCAAGTTTTCCTCTTTCAATAGCTATGAATAATGCACGCTGTAATTGGCCGCGCGGCAAGGTGCTGGGTGGTTCTAGCGTACTGAACTATATGCTTTACTTGCGAGGCAGCAAAATCGACTATGACAACTGGGAGGCGCTGGGAAATCCAGGCTGGGGTTATCGCGATGCTTTGTATTACTTCAAAAAGTCTGAGGATAACACAAATCCCTACCTGGCCAGCACACCTTATCACTCCGCTGGCGGTTACTTGACGGTGGGTGAGGCTCCCTATCATACTCCATTGGCGGCTAGTTTCGTTGAAGCTGGCGTAGAAATGGGGTATGAAAATCGCGATTTAAATGGCGAGAAACAAGCCGGTTTTATGATAGCGCAGGGCACAACACGTCGCGGCAGCCGTTGCAGCAGTGCTAAAGCTTTTCTGCGGCCGGCGCGCTTGCGTTCTAATTTACACATATCGATGCACTCTCAAGTGACGCGCATCATGATCGACCCTGTAACGAAATTAGCCTTCGGCGTAGAATTTGTCAAGGATCAGCGCATATATCGCATACGCGCCACAAAAGAGGTAATCTTATCTGGTGGATCCGTTAACTCTCCCCAACTGCTGATGTTGTCAGGTATAGGACCACGCAAAGAATTAGCCAAGCATCAAATACCAGTCATTAAGGAGCTGAGTGTGGGCGAGAACCTGCAGGATCACATTGGCCTTGGTGGTCTAACATTCCTTGTCAATCAACCGGTTTCCATTGTGGAGAGTCGCTTTCATTCCATGTCGACTGTTCTGCAGTACGCCGTATTTGGTCAGGGACCACTTACCATTCTCGGTGGCGTTGAGGGTCTTGCTTTTGTGAACACAAAGTACGCCAATACCTCAATAGATTGGCCCGATATTGAGTTTCACTTCGTCTCTGGCTCCACAAATTCAGATGGCGGCTCGCAATTGCGCAAAGCTCACGGTCTCACCGACGCATTTTATCGCGCGGTGTTCGAGAAGATCAACAATCGGGACGCTTGGAGCATCATACCAATGTTACTGCGCCCACGAAGCATTGGCTCCATTAAGCTGCGCAGCAACAATCCTTTTGACTATCCATACATTTTTCCGAACTACTTGAGTGACGAGCTCGATACGAAGACACTTATAGAGGGCGCCAAAATTGCGGTAGCGCTTTCGCGTACGAAAGCAATGCAGCGCTTCGGTTCACGCATTTCATCGATCAAATGGCCCGGCTGTCAACATTTGCAGATGTTCACTGATCCCTATTGGGAGTGCATGATACGCCACTATACGGTAACTATTTATCATCCGGTGGGCACGTGTAAAATGGGACCATATTGGGATCCTGAAGCCGTGGTCGATCCGCAGTTACGTGTATACGGCATACGCGGTTTGCGGGTGATTGATGCAAGTATTATGCCGAAATTGGTTAGTGCCAACACGAATGCACCGGTAATAATGATAGCGGAGAAGGGATCGGACATGATTAAGGAATTCTGGATCAAAAATACGATAATCTAATTGGGCAGGGGGAAGTGGAAGGGGGCAAGGTTAAGGTCTGCACTATTAAGTGTAGAATATTACCTTCTAATATTAAAGCGTTGAAATTCTGAAACATTTTGTAATTTATTTATTTATTTTCTGTATTTAAAAAATCAATTTTATGTAAATAGTGTAAGAAAAATTGACATGTTTAGATAATAGCACGATGTAAAAAAAAAA